TAACGCAAAATAAAAAATAATGTAACTAAAAGCTAGTGGACTTTTATGCCAGTCTTTCTAATGTTCCAAGATAGACATAGATACATTTCAATATCTAAATAAAATTTATGTATCATCATGCTTTCCTTTGATATCTATGTTCCTGAACTATATGATGCTTGACCAGCCTATAAAGAGTTTGCAATCTCTTATGAGCAACTAATCATGAAACCATCCAGCAGAAGAATTAATAATTTCCCACCAATGTTACGGAAGGCGGTAGGCAGACTAGGCATTTGAGCCAGCGCCTAGCGCTTAGATATCTAGGCGTATGCCTAAGCGGCGCCTAGGCGTTTGACTATTTTTAAATTATTTAATTATAATAATTGATAAAAATATATATTAAATTCATATAAATTTGTAAAAAAAAAGATAGCAATCCTAGATCCACAATAACCCATGCATACTTATATAATAAATAGTCAAAATTATAACTAACAAGGTTCGTTAGGAGATCTAGGCGTTGAACCCGTCACCTAGAGCCTAGGAAATTTTCTTTTTTATTTTTTAATTGCAATAATTAATAGTAAATGTTAATGTTATAGAAAATTTAGATGTTGGACTAGTGTCTAGGCGGATTTCTTTTTTCATATAAGTGGTAGTCGATGAAGTTTTGCTGAAGGTCGAAGGAGGCAGTGAAGGTGTTCATATTTGGAGGTTAAACAAGTTTGAAGGAGGTTAGAGGACGTGGATGTTGCAACACAGAAAATCACGGTCAAGGCCTAAAGGGTATAATCCATGTAAGCAGACAATGCTCCCATAAACACTCGTAAAATCTAGGTGGCAGCCTGATACCGCCATGGCTCTAGGCGCTAGTTAAACGGCCAAGTTACCGCCTAGGTCTAGGCGTACGCCTAGGCAGATTAGGCAGAGGCTTTTTGAAACAGTGTTTCCCACTCACAAAATTGCTGTGTATTTATCTAACACAAAATCATCCAACATAAAAAAATTTAATCTAAACATAAGAAAAAGTCATAATTTGATTGCCTAACATAAGAGAGTTACTGTTGGAACATCACTGACTTCAACTAGAAGCATAAAAACATACTAATAAACTAAATATGAGGGCACATATAACCCTATTATTAGTCTTGAGACTTGAACATAAAACATCATTTCGAATAAAAGTTGTGTTTTCCTTGACGAATGACCCCATCTCCTGCATATTGTTGTCATGAGCTTGAGACATACGTGATTTGCGATGTCTGAGAAAACCCTTGTCATCTCGGATGATGAAAGGCCTCGTATTGGGCATGGTGCATTTGAGGTCGCTATTGTTGGAAATAAGTTGTTGATGGATAGCCAGACGTTGCATTTTGCAGATCCATTTGTTTCTCGAGCCAAGATAATAGCATTTGCCCATTAAACATATTAACAACATACCTGTTTTCCTTCTTCATAATAGTTTCAACTCCTACCACAACTAAATCATTAGTTATACCTTCTAATGTCACTATCTTTTCCATACACTCTTACATTTTATTAGTAGGCAACCCTTTTCTAGATTAGCTCTTTTGTAATTTCAAATTCTTACTTTTGGAACTCAGTCATTTTTGATAAACCATTTTCAACTTCAGTACCTGAAAATGTATGATGACTGTGGCATAGGTGAAGCATTTTTAATCTTACGCTTTGGACCTGATGGTTGAGCATGACGATTTATGCTCGGAGTAGAAATAGGTGTTGGTTGTGACTAAGGTCGTGTCTCACTAAAATGAACTTGTGTCCCTTGCACTCATTGTACCTTCGCTGAATCACTCAAACCTATCTCATTATTCTTTTGCCCTTCAATCTCCTCTAATTTATTATCTAAACTAGAACTTCCTTCACGCTCGTTGAAATTATCAGTAGTGCCAAATCACAAATACCCTTTAGATGTATTACCTCCACATAGAAAATCCATTTCATCAAACCGAGGGAAATGTTTGTTCTTAATTCTTAGATACTCATCATTGTCTTGTGATTAAAAATTCATAATAAAGAAATCATAGTTTTAATTATATAATATTCGAATTTTAATAATATCATAATATAAAGATAATACCTTTATCAATGCCTCCCAATCTTTTGAGGTAGGTGCAATCACCATATTTTTACCTTCATCCCAAACCCGATTTATTTCGAAGCTTGTAATTAAGGCAATATCGCTTTTTCAAAAATTTAGAGCGGCTTTGCATTTGTGGTTTGCCTCTGTCCTTTTGTCCGGTCCTATCTTTATACTAAGAAACTTTTTGTCATTGCTCGGTTGTGAAGGGGTCTCCATTCCTTTAAGAACCATTTCCTTTAATATACCCAACAAACAATTATCTTCAGTTATAGTCCAATTCTTTGCTCGAAGTCTTGACTGTCCACCTTCAATTTGAGTCTGTGCTACCATGTTCTTTTTAGCCATTCTAAATTGTTAATGAAATATTTTGAAAAAGTTAATCAATTGAATAATAAAGTAATAAATTATAGCCTAGATTTATAGGAATTTCAACATGCTACTATCTTTTGATATCGAGTTGACACTATAAAGCAATATGAATTCAAACTATAAAACTGGTTGTACATGGACTTAGCTTTAAAGGAAACTCAAATTCAATTACAAAATTAATTTGCAGCTCCAAGCTATAAGAGATACAATTCAGACCTACTTAGATTATTTGTTTATACCAAAAAATAAGTAACCTTACAACACAATCAATAAACTATATTCTTGAGTTTGACATCTTCCTCTAGTAAAGCTTATAGTCTCTGTCACTTCTCTCCAGTACATAGAAAGAATTTTCACATGCTCTAAGTAAAATTGCAACACTAAAATCTTTGGTTCATTTCAATTTGCATGCAATCTCGCAAAACTAAATTTATTAATATCCTAAAATTTTCTGGTGTACTAGATATTATGTACTAGACTAATTCATCTACACGAATTAATCTACATCTTCTGCTGATGCAACAAATCAGATTTTCTACATAATCACATGTATACATATATTTGCATTCATTCCTAACAAAATTCTTATCTGCCTAACAATCGATATCCTGTCTCGAAACAATTAGTTTCAACAAGAATTTAATCCACATCATCTTGCATTTAGTCCGAATCCTCACTAATAATTTTACTCTCTTGTTAATAAAGATTCATTACATAGCTAGTATACCTGATGTCCAACAAGTAATCTGATGCTACAAGTTATGTAATATCAAAATCATAAGGCTATTTCAAATCAAATTAGTAGATAACTACAGGCTGGCTCATGTCTTTCTTTCTTATAGTGGGTTTTCCCTTAAGGAGTGGAGTGCGCTAGCCAAGGTTTCCTTCGTTAACAAACAAACTGAAAAAGGAAAAAAAAATGGAAAAAGAAAAAAAAAACAAACTAGAGCAGAATGTTATTGTTTCTTTGATAGTTCCTCCAGGGACCATCAAGCAAAAAGAGTACCCAAGGATTGCGGCAGAGATCAAGGTCCACATGTAGACTAATTTCACCTTGTGACCTGATAGCTCATATCTTTGCAAGTATATATTCTATTTTATAAAATTTTACTGCAAGTTCTTGTCATAATCTTCCAGGTAACAAATAAGCATGAAAACTTTCGTCTCTCCATCACATTATTTTCTTATCTATGTAAATAAATTATATTTTACCATCAATAAAGTACAGATATAGACTTGTTTTCTTATCTTTGTAAATAAATTATATTTTATAATCAATAAAGTACAGACATAGGCTGTTTAAACAAAAGAATAGAAAAATAAAGATTCATTACATATAGTACACTTAATATCTGACGAAAAATCTTGTGCTACAAAACATGTAATAACTGAATCATAAGGTTATTTCAAATCCAATTAGTAGAGAACCATGTAACTGTGGGCGGAGCAATTACTTGTTCCATCTTTTGACAAGTAATAGTTAACCCGTCAAATGACAGGTTAACTAGGTTGTTGGGCTCACGTGCAGGTTTGTTAACCCGTGGTCTTTTCTTGTTGTGTGGGTATTTAATGAAGGGTTAAAGCCCCATGACCATTCAATTAACCCCTTGCCAAATGAGGATTTAAGGATTAAAAGGTTCTAAAATTAGCATGTGGGTTCAATGTTCAAAAACACGGTTTTATTATCCGTGCAGTCCGAGAGCGAGTCACGATTAATTGGATTATGCGCCGATTAATCAGATTATGCGGAATTATGCGTTTTTGAATTTTTTTAACATATATTTATTATTTTTCATACATAAAAATGTATATAATTCATAAAAGATAGAAGATATACTAAGAAAAATGCAAATAAACATGTGAGATTGAGAGATGGGGGAGGCCAGCAATTTTTTAACATACATTTATCCTGCTGCTACAGTCACCGTT